TTGGTTTAGGCTGACCTCGGGATCCAAGATGGACTCCTCCTCCTCTCTAGTCCTTGAACTGGACGCCGCCGCATCTGTAGCGCGGTGAGCCGACTCTTCGGTGGCCTCGACAACTGCCCCAGCAGAACTCGGAGCCTCAACGGCAGCCCCGGCTGGCTCGTCCACCAACCCCTCCACAGCCTCAGGCTTTTGGGGTGGAAAATCACCCTCCAGATCTATCACTGGAGGGGCATTGTTGAGCTCGGGCTTAGGGGTGGGAACCCGAGGATGATCGGGCTCGGGGGAGAAAGCTCCCGATGACTCCACACGAGTCTTCTTGGCAGCCCGCTTCTTCCTCTTTTTCATGTGGTTGAGGAGCCTAGGAGTTGTAATCCTTTCCTCCTTGTCCATGGGACCTGCAACAAAGTTGGCGTTAGTAAACCTGAAAACACCAAGCAGATAAAAGCAAAGCACCAAAAGATAGAAATAGACCTACCCGGGCTCAAACCGGCCTGAACGAGCTTCTCTTTGGTGATGTACTCCCGATGATCGAGCTCAGCCTGAGCCCATGAATGGAAGGTCTCCCATGTCTGCTGATTGAGGGCGATACTGGTAGCCTGGGTGGCCACCCTCCAGTTAGTAAGGAAGGGCCACCCCATGCTGGCCCATATCACAAAATAGTCCCGCTTCCAGGCCGGGACCTTGCTCGGGAACTTGTGTAGCAGCTTGAAGCCTGGGTGAGGAGACAAGTAGTAGACCTGCCCATGCTCGAGGGGAGCGCTAGAGGCGCTCTTTTTTATTAGCAGTATGGAGCAGAGTATGTCTGCGTCCAAAGAGAACTTCCGTTCGTGACAGAGGGAAATGGTTCCCACCAAATTCTGAATGGAATTGGGGTGAAGTTGATCCAGTGTGATGCTGAAACGCCCCAACACCTCGGGGATAAGAGGGTGAAGAGGGAGACGAAGCCCACCGACGAGTTGTTCCCTCAAGATCACAACCTCATCTGGACCGTGCTTCCAGGGTAAATTGTCGATGGGAAGGCTGTAGGAGTACTCTGACAAAAGGTTAAATTGTTGAATGAGGTCTTAGAGCCTCTCCAACGTCATAGTAGAAGGACCGAACTGGTCCGGCATTCGACCTCGATGAGAGGTGGACGCCAGTTTACCCGAGGTTGCCCATGCCTCGTGGGAAGGCCGAGCAACAGCAGGGTCCCCATGACCCAAGGTGCCCGCCTTGGGTCCATCCGAGAAACTGTCCTCACTGGACATAAGGAAGAACGAACTAAGATAAAATAAAAGAGGGAAGACTTGGGGACTCACCGGAAAGAGACGAAACCTAGGTGGAAGACCCGAGCTGGAGACCTCAGACGCGAGCTCGAGGAGAAAAACACTTAGTGACGAAGGAAAATGGCCACAATCCCGCTATTTAAAGCCACTGGGCACGATAGCCAACGGTCAAGATTGGATCAATCCAGCGAACCTCAAAGAAGTCGGCTGTGGGACTCTCAAGGCAAATTTAGTTTAGCGCATTTTTTGGCATCCGCGCAGCATAAAGCGTGTGACGTTCGTGCGTGAATTGCACGAGACACGGGTTTTTCCCTCTACGCAAACCAAATACCCAACCGGTCCAGCCGCTGAACCGCCCAACATCGCGGCATGAGAACCAAGCCAAATCCCCCCAGCAAACCATGAACTCCTCGCACTGGGGCACCGTCCCCCGCACGGGGAGTGAGGGGCAATTGATGGAGGGCGATTTGGCTGACCTCGTAGCACGGGTACACGTGGGCGTGACCTTGCTCAAACGATGACTCAGCGTGACAACACAACTGGCACAACCGCAACCCGGTGGGAAAGTCACATTGAGTTCAGTCCAGAAAATCGGCGGGATAGACTACTCGCCGAGAGCCGCCTAGCCCGCACCTCCTCCCCGGGGCTAAGGTACCGCAAGCTGCCTCTGAGCTCGGAGCCCCCTGACCTCTCCTAATATCCGAGCTCCTCCTAGTGGAACTCAGACCACTCCCAGACAGGAACACACCGATTCGCTTATAGATACCCCGAGGTGAAGACACCTCGGGCTAGACAGCTTGGCTTAGCTTGCCACAGGCAGCTCGTTGCTTACAAACTAGCCCGGCACGGGGTAACTCGCGGAAGGGTAGTTCGGCATATCGCAGGAGGATCTCCTACTCGACCACCGTACCCGACAAATCTGGGGGCAGCAGCGATATTCCTCGTCAGACAGCGTCATGCCTGGCACCTTTAGAGGGTGCCCTACACCCGACAGTAACGACAGTGGCAGACTGACAGTGGCGGTTATACCCGCCCTGTCAGAGGCCAATGGGCCTGATGCAACGGATTTCTGCTATACGGAGCTTAGTATCAAGGAGGACAGGTATCATCTTCTACTCTCGCGCTATCTGCATTCTTAGCCTTCATTTTTCTCGTTGCTTCTTCTACAGAATACTAACTTAAGCATCAGAGTGTTCCCACTGGGCAAGCCCCAGGGATTCTTCTTCTTCTTCTCCATCTCAGGTACCTTCCAGGAGCCACGTAAGCGCCAGCTAGGAGTGACCGGATTGCGCACTATCAGTCACGGTTCCAAACATCCCCAGGGTAAGCCCAAGTGAGGGAATATTTTAATATTTAGGTGAGTTGGTGAAGGTTGTTAGACAGTGTATGCCCTTAGCTCCAATCAGATTGATGTACATTATGACATTTAATGTAAATGAATAAAGTACATATTTGATTCTTGTTATTGTGGTGTGTTTCTGTGTAATACCCTTAAACTGAACACTTATGAGAGTAGTGTTAGTTTAGAATGTTCACAGTCATTGGATAAGTCTAGGGAGATTTATCCTGTTAAGGCTGACACTGGTGTGCCCCAAGTGTTGGGGTGGCCTGTCTCAGCTGCCAGGCTGAGGCCCGAGGTACATGCATGTAGGTTTATTTGAAACCCTGAACCAGACCAAATTTCCAGTATTGCTCTGCACCTTGGAGATTAGTGGGCAAAATTGGAAAGTTACACCTGACCCCTAGACTCGATTATGATACTGCACTAGGTGTTGGATTGGACTGTTTTTGATATGTCAGACAGTGAAATCCTTAGCGGGGGTCAAAACCTGGGTATGTTGGGACAGTTCGAGAATTCATCTGAGTGGGTGATCATAGTGACAGGATCAACCCTTTTGTCGGACAATGGTAATGATCGGGGATACACTCTCTCTAGTGGAAACCAAGACTGCCGGTAGCCAATTTTGATTGTTGAAATTTGTTTTGCAAAATATATTTATATACGAATATACATACATACATATATATATATATATATATATATTGTGGTTTCAAAATGTTTGCAAAAGGTTTTAATTCCCGGGATCCATGTGAGTAGAGAGTGTAGCACTGTTCCTTGCAGCCGAGGGAGAGGTCCTCTCTTGTCGGGCAGTGTTTGATCATTATGGGCTGAGAGGTTAAGTGTAAGACCATTGAGGGTAATACCTGATGGGCTAATCTTGCATCTACCCACAGTCCCTGGGTTTTTATAACAGAGGGAAAGTGAATTCGGCCAGGCCTTGTAACAGAGGCTGGGCTGAACCCATGTGGCTGATGTGTAGATCAATGTTTGGGTTTTAAGCCATACAAGGAATCTCAATTGGGCAGCAATTTGGAAGGTTAATGAGCACACTGGCTTATTGGGCCTAAATCTCATTTCGAACTGGTTTAGTTGGACTAATTAAAGAGGGGTGGATCTGGGATTGGATCAACAGATAGGATAGGGTCTTACCCTATCCACTCAGAGAGTCTAGATCTAAATACAGATTTGGATCTTGAAACCTCCTGATAAGATTAGGAGAGATCTGATCTAATCTGCAGATAAGATAGGGAGTTATTCTTAAAGAGAACTCATTATCCAAATACAGATTTGTATTAGGAAACTCGTAATGAGATTAGAAGCTCTTTTTAAGGCTATAAAAGGAGGAGGGGGCGAACCATTCAGCCCATCCCAAAATTCCAGAGATTAGATCTCAGTTTACACAGAGAGAAGACAGCAACAGTGTGACTGCGCCATCTTCTCCCTACGTTCTCCTCCAATTGCCGCCATAGCCATTTTGACCTCCATTGTTGTAGGAGCAATCAAGAAGCATTCTTGATATCAGTTTTTGGTGAAAAACTGATTGGGAGTTGTGCTCACCTACCCTCCAACGAATTCTTGGTGAATGATTTGGTTTTTGGGAAGAACACTACTGATTTTGCTCCACCCTACACTGTGTCATCTTTAGTGGGAGTAGTATTTTGATCCTTCTTTGGGTGTGAACACATCCATTGGGAAATACTATTTCTTGGTATCAGGTATATCCCTCTCCTACTGTTTTGGTTCAGATCTAGTTCGGGTCTTGGTTCAAGTTTGATCATTGAAAATTGCAGTTTTTTGAAATTTCGCCCTACCTTTCTGCAGGGTTCGGCCATCCATATGATGAATCTTTCATCCCTTCAAAGGTATGAAGGGAGGTTTAAGTATTTTAGAAAAAACGAAAAGGCTTGTACAATACACAGGTTTCTATAAAAAAACGAAAAGGCTAAAATGAATCCCAACACTTGTTTTAGAAAATCTTTATAAAAAGAATAATTTATTAGAAATTTAGAAAAATTTAAGGCTGCATTTGGATGTGATGTAAATCAAGAACCACTGTAAATTTTATATTTTGTATGTGTTTAGAAAGAAGTTTTAATTATTATTGACGTAAAATTATACTTCTGTTCAGTTTTGCATACATTTTGGATGAAATATAGTTTTATATGTCTTTAACTCCAAAGTTTTACATCGATAATCAATATAAAAACTACGTCAATTTTATCTTGTAGAACTTTACATTCTTCCACCCATCACTTTTTAATTCAGTGATAACGTTTTACAATGATTTCAAACACAGCCTAAACAATCACATAAGAATATTCTTTTTTTTTGTTTTTTCGGAATCCGAAAGTGCAAGGGCTAATTCCAGTTTATTGGTCTTGTTTTTAGGATGTCATATCTTTTCCATAGGCGAACCCATTAAACTTACCCTTTTTTACCCCTTTGCAAAATTATAACACTTCCGGTCCGAAGTCCAGATTCCAGAGCTCTCTTCGCTCTTCAGTCTTCGACTCCGGGTACGGATCTCCTTTACTCCACATCTCTTCCTTTCGCAGTGCGGAGAGTACTCAAGATTTAACAGCTTGCCTAACAGGTGTCTTTTCTTCTTATTTTTATATGCTTCTTACTCTATTACATGAAGAGGCATTTCGTGATTTGATGAAGTCAAATCAACAAGTGCTACATTTAGACTGAACGCTGTGCTTATTGGAAATGATTTTCTAATTTCATTCTAACGAATACCATTTTTTTGATAATGTGAAATGATTTTTTGTTCCTCATTTCTCATTTCTCTGTTCGATTTTTAATGCGGACAAATTCAGTGGTGTTGAACTATGATTTTTTTCTCAATAATACCAATTTCAGGTTTTTCTCGGTAATGTGTCCTCCATCACTAACCATGGATGTCAAAAGCTCTCCTGCAGGTTCCTCTCGTAATTCCTTTTTGAGACGACCACTTATATAGATTTATAGGCGTTACTCTTTTTTTTATTTTTTATTTTTTATTTTTGGGTGGGGGTGTTGTTTGGTGTACACACTTGAGTTCTTCAGGAACAGGGTAAGCTGAAGGACTTGGTCAATTTCTTTTTTTCATGGAAACTGTTATTTTTGTAATTGGAGACTTTGATGCATTGGTTTACGTTGGTTGCGACGCGTTGAATGAGTTTTGAGGTTTCTTATCTTATGCTCTTTGCATTGAGTTGAATGAGTTTGAAGGCTCTTAGGTAGGTAAGTTGATGACAATATTTTTCTGTAGTAAGTTTAATCCAGAATGAGTGAATATGGTCTTGCTCTTAAGTGACTACTTTCTCTTTTTTCTCTTCACCATTTTCTATATGCATAAGTTCCATCTTTGGCTTCTTACATGAGAAGCATTGAAGGAAAGCTAACAAAAGATTATGAAACAAGAAATATTCTTGCTGAAACTGAATAAGTGTATATGATACAAATGAAGGGATGAGACATCCATCATATGGATGGCCGAACCCTACAGGAAGGTAGGGCGAAATTTCAAAAATTTCTTCTCTCCCATCTAGGAATCACATTCCCGGTTTTTAGAAAAACTACATTTTTCAAGGATCAATCTTGAATCAAGAACTGAACCAGATCTGAACCAAAACTGTAGGAGAGGGATATACTTGATACGAAGATGCAATATCTCCCAACGAAAGTGTTCACGCCCAAAGAAAGACTCCCAAGACTGCTCCCACTGAAGATGACACAGTGAATGGTGGAACAGAATCAGCAGGGTCCGTCCAACGAACCGAATTCTTCAGCAAGAATTCGATGGAGGCAGTGAGCACGACTTCTGCTCAGCCTTTCTCCAAAGGCTGATATCAAGACACCTCTTGATCGCTCCTACAAAGGAAGGAGATCGAACTGGCAGTATGGCGGCAACTGGAGGAAACGCAGGGAGAAGATGGCGCAGTCACACTGTTGCTGTCTTCTCTCTGGGTGCTCTGAGATCTGATCTCTGAGAAGCTTGGGATGCTGAGGATGAACTGAATGGTTCGCCCCCTCTTCCTTTTATAGCCTTAAATAGATCTCCTAATCTCATTAGGAGTTTCCTAATCCAAATCTGTATTTGGATAAGGAGTTCTCTTTAAGAGATAAGGATAAGCCYTTATCTTATCTGTAGATTAGATCAGCTCTCTCCTAATCTCATTAGGAGGTTTTCAGATCTGGACTCTCTGAGTGGATAGGGTAAGACTCTATCCTATCTGTTGATTTAATCCCAGATCCGCCCCCTTATTTAACTAGTCAAACTAGGCCAGTTCGAAATGGGCTTTAGGCCCAATAAGTCTAAGTGCTCAAACTGCTTCCAACTTGTTGTGCAGTTGGGCTTCTTTGTATGGCGTGGGACCCAAACATTGATCTACACATCAGCCACATGGGTTCAGCCCAACCTCTGTTACAAGGCCTGGCCAAATTCACTGAAAAGACAGTGAACCCCTTGAAGCCCATCACATGGACTCCTAATAGACCCAACACTTACATTAAGTGATCCCTGGGCCAAGCCACCTTATAAAAACTTAGGGACTGTGGGCTGATGCAAGATTAGCCCATCAGGTATTACCCTCAATGGTCTTACACTTAACCTCTCAGCCGATAATGATCATACACTGCTCGTCTGCCCGACAATAGAGGACCTCTCCCTCGGCTGCAAGGAACAGTGCTGCACTCTCTACTCACATGGATCTCGGGAATTAAAACCTTTTACAAACATTTTGAAACCATAATATATATATATATTTATATCTGTATATAAAATATATTTTGCAAAACAAATTTCAATGATTGAAATCGTCTGCCGACAATCTTGGTTTCCATCAGAGAGAGTGCATTCCCGATCATTACCATTGTCCGACAAAGGGGTTGATCCTATCACTATGATAACCCACTCAGATGAATTCTCGGACTGTCCCAACATACCCATGTTTTGACCCCCGCTAAGGATTTCACTGATTAACATATTAAAGACAGCCCAATCCAACACCTAGTGCAGTATCATAGTCGAGTCTAGGGGTCAGGTGTAACTTTCCAGTTTTGTCCACTAATCTCCAAGGTGCAGAGCAATACTGGAAATTTGGTCCGGTTCAGGGTTTCAAGTAAACCTACATGCATGTACCTCGGGCCTCAGCCTAGCACCTGAGACAGGCCACCCCAACACTTGGTGGCACACCAGTGTCAGCCTTAACAGGATAAATCTCCCCAGACTTACCCAATGATTGTGAACATTCTAAACTAACACGAGTCTCATAAGTGTCCAGTTTAAGGGTATTACATAGAAACACACCACAATAACATGAATCAAGTATGTACTTTATTCATTTACAATAAATGTCATAATGTACATCAATCTGATTGGAGTAAGGGCATACACTGTCTAACAATAAAATGGGGACAAACCCAGTGCCACACTCACAAAAGAAGAAAATGAGGTCTGAACTTTGCAGGACAACAAGGACTAACTGTAATTCGTCCTAGGAGACCACATCAGCCTTTTCATGGGTTAAGCGAGGACCTTGGGGGAATAAGGTGTTCTTGCAGAAGCTCAAGCTGCCATGTTACTAGAATCCCCTTCAACAGTGGATCTTCAATTTTTGAAAATCTTTAGCTGCACTATAAGTGCTGAAGTCTTGATATTTTCTGCACCATTAACAATTGATCTATCTAAATCACCAATTCTAATATTATTAGTAAGAATGACTCCGTTGTTACTCCCATTGAAACTTACATTGAGCTACCCTCCGATCGAGGAGGCAGGACACCTAAGGGTCTGGATTGGGTACTGCAATTCCTTTAAATGTTAGACCAACATCCATTATTCAATTAGAGAAATATCTTTTGAAACAGGGAAAGATGAAAATTTGTCCAGATACTTCCAGATGAAGCCAGGGATAACTATAAGTTTAATTAAGTTGAATTACCATGTATTGCACAAAGGGGCCATTGCTTGTCCAAATGGTAAAATCTTGGCTTGACAAGCATGAAAATGCAAGTTTGAGTCCGATAGTACATAGTAGTCACTTTGTGCAAAAAATGCTAAAGGGCAAGTTTGTATCCTGTTCTATTAATAAAGAGAGAACACTATTAAAATCGACAAAAAAAAAATTAAAGATATTGTTGTAAAATTTTGGGAATAAAAACATGAGAATGTAGGCTTGAGTTTGAGAGAGTCTCATTCGTGCAAGAAAATGCTGAAGGTTAGGTCCATATCTAATCCACCCCTTCTAAGACCCCAGATAGCCAGGATCAACATTGAGTAATGGCCTCATATTACATTTTTTTTTGATATCTTTTGAAGGGCTACACAATGGGGGATAGCCCATCCCCCAACCCATAACCCCCCCCCCTCCCCAACCAAGGTGCAGGCAGGATTTGATCCCAAGTCTCCGCTACAACCAGCAGGAGACCTTACCAACCAGCTGGTGGCACCTTGCAATGGCCTCATATTACATGCATATATGTTATTCTAACATGCAACTGCTTGCCTTGTAGTTCTGATAGAGAGACAAGACTATAAAGGTCAGAGAAAAAAATTAAAGATATGTTAAACAGGTATAGAGTTATTTATGGAGGAACACCTCATTTTTTTTGAACTGTAAGGTAAAGTATTCATTCATGATGATCAAAAGAAACAAAATTCCCATGTACAATGAGGCTCTGTACAAAGGATAAACAATCAGCTATATGACTTTACATCAACACCTTTCCATATTAGCATACACAAAGGTTATCCCTATAAAAAAAGTATTACAATTTCTTCCTTTAAATAATTTCTGATTTGCCATCCTAGAACACACCATGCCCATCATTGTCTTGATGATCTCTTCTATGGGCTCTCTTTTCCTTCAAATATCCAAGAATCCCCTCCACACATTTCAACCCCGAATAAATCCATTATTTTAATGTAAGCCAACAGAATATGGTAAGGTGGTGGTGGTGGGGCTCCAAAAGTCCAAGAGGGAACGACAGTGGTTGCAGGGAGTCTGAAAAAGAGAGACCAAGGTAAGATAAAAAAAATCAAAAGAAAGAGAGAATCTGGACCTCTCCAGTCTCCACCATAATGGGTTTAATGGATGTATTCCTAAGGAGTGTCTTGTTAATGGATCGCCATGTGGGTATGAGGCCCTATTTATAATGTTTTGGGCTTCCATATTTTGGAACTTTTCTCTATTTTGCTTTTGCCCATTTTACCCTTTAATTGTTATTCTGGAATGTTCTATTTACTTAATTATATTATTCCAGAAAGTTCTAGCCTTTAAGTTGATGCACGTAACTTTAATTAAGTGAATAGTTGATTTGAACTGGTCCGGTCAGACTTGGGTTTATGCTGGGTTGACTGGGTTAATGTACTATAAATCCACTATCTTAAATTTAGTCCATGGCCAATGCACAAAATCATAATGCAACAAGAGATGATATGCTGTTTCTTCATATCTGCAGCACCTCACACACCTTACATCCTTCACTTCAGTACTCCTAATCATATTGTCTTTGGTTAAAATTTTGTTTAAAGCTGCCGTCCAAAGTGAAACTTGTTTCCTCTGGGTCACAAAAAAGTGAGCCATTGCTGATAAGTTGTGTTGTTTCTAGTTGTTTCCTTTTATCTTGTAGTTCTAGCAAGTGAACTCAAGAACTATAGAAACTGCATAAGCATTTAAGACACTTGGGAACTTTCTAAGTCATTTATTTTTTCTTTTTGTTTTTAGATAAAGGTCTTGAAAGGATTTGAAGATTTTCCCAACTGATTCAAAATTTACACGTGTAAATCTGCAACATTCTCCAGAGTGATCACAAAATCCAACTTAGAGATAACAGAAACAAATTTCTGCAAAGATGTCTTAGTAATGACTCCCATTGTGCTCAATAAAAGGATTACAGGAAATGAAAAAAAAGAAATTATCAGCATACTTGCCAACAAGAAATTATTCATCAAACTTAAATTTTGTTTCTTTTTCTTTATTCATTTGCATTGCACGCCTTTCTTTATTGTACTAGATGCTAACACCCTCGAGTTAGCGTCATTCCTAAGAAATCTCTTCTTCTATAATGTTCCAATAATCTTGTGACATTATGTGTCATCTAAATAGTTTTTTTTGCAATATGGGATTCATTTTAGTGCTTCTTTTGAGCAGGCCATTTGGTTTTGCAGATGCACTCAAGAACAAAATGAGTAACTCTCAGTTAGAGCCACAGAAGTTTTTTGCATCCGTCAGCATGGGTGAAGAAAAGCCATTTGATTTCTTACGTATTTTATTTGGTATGTTCTATGAATATTGCTGAAATTGGAACACTGGATTTTGGTAGGAATACTGATCATATATGAAACAACTAAACATGTTCAAGAAGAGATCCTTTGGTGCTTGTTGTTTGTTGATAGCATTATTTTAATTGATGAAGTAACAAAGGATTAAATGTACAATTAAGTTTATGGACAAAAACATTGGAAGCAAAAGGTTTTAAAATAAGTAGGACTAAAATAGAATATATGTTATGCAAAATTAATAATAATAGGAGTGAAAGTCAGTGTACATCTATGATTGGAGACCATGTGATAACTCAATGTGACCTTTTCTGGTAGTTCAATAATTCATAACAAGGGAGAGATTGAAGAGGATGTCACCCACAGGATTAGAGCAGGATGGGCAAATGGAGGGATGCGCCTGGAGTCTAATGTAATAGGCAAATATCACTTAGGTTAAAAGGAAAATTCTATGAAACAGTTGTAAGGCACTGAGGCTTTTTTCAATTCTGTATGGAGCAAAGTGCTGGGCATCTTATAGACAAAATGTTCAAAAAAGGAGTGACAGAAATGCATATGCTGACTTGCTGAGATGGAGGAGTGGAAAAACTAAAGGATAGAGTCAGAAATGAAGTCACATTCCAAGGAACCAAGGAGTGGCTCCAGTAGGTGATAAAATGAGAGAAAGTAGACTAAGATGGTTTGGTCACATGCATAGAAGACCATCTACAGCACCCATATGAAGAAGCAATCAGTTGCAAGTTGAAGTGGCTAGAAGGGCTAGGGGCAGACCAAAAGGAGCATGGGTTGAAATAATTAGAAATGATTTAAGCACTCATAATTGAACACTGGATTTGACACTAATGAGCGAAATGGCAAAACAGGATTCATGTTGCTGACCCCATGTAGCTGGGGTAAGGCTTAAATGATGACAATGACAATATCATATATGCTTTGGATGTTTGTCAGATAACTTCTTAAGAGGGTTGATTAGATCGATCAAAACCCTCAAATTCTAGTTGCACCGATAGGCGATAGCCAATCCAGAATCATTGGTCCGGCTGATGCACCTCTGTCCTTCATCTTTCAAAAAATTCATCTATTTCTTTCCTGTTGTAACCCTCAAAAATTTGGAAATGGTATAAAACTTCAGCATATCATGGCTTTTGCTACCACTGTTGAACCTTGGCCTTGGCCAGGAAGAGAAAAAAGGAAAAATCTCATGAGGCCAAGAAGGTGTAAACGCAAGATGATTGAACAGGCTGAAGAAATAAGACCAAATTAAAGTTGCCACTTGACAATGAATAAATATATGGTTATGTTCTTGATCCTGATTCCTAAAATAACACAATCGCCAGCCAGAAGATAGCCTTTATTCTTCAAATGATCAATGGTAAGAATAGAATCCAGAAGTACTGACCACACAGATGAAACATCTCTTGGAGGTACCAAGAGAGGGAGGGAGGGAAAGCCACTTAGAACCACATTCTATGACTTAATGGAATTACTCTCTCTCTATATATTTATATTTATTTATTTATATATTGTATGCACGTATGCATGTATGTATAACATTAAAACTAAGAATTTTGAAATTACAATTTACCATAAGTCCTAATCTACTTAAACAATGACCTCTGAAAATTCAAATATAAATTAAGGCTAAACAAAACCAATTACCTTTTTCTTAGTTTTATGCAAAAGATGTAGTTTGATCATTTTGATAATTTTTTTGTGCTTTAGGATTGTTTCCAATTTATTTTGGCAAAACTAGTGAAATTTCCCTGATATTTTTGATGAAAATTGTAATATTTGCGTATAAAAATTTGATTTTTATATATTAAAATTTTCTGAAGTATGAGGGAACTTGGAATTTTTTGATTCCAGGATGTTTTTGTTCCACCCCTTGCAGAAATAGAAAATTTTCACTATAAAAGGCCATTATTCAATGTTGGTCCCAGTGTTCTCATGCTTGTCAGAGATAAGTTTCACTGTATTTCAGAAAAAAAAACTGTGAACTATGATTGTAAGGTTATATATTAAGTGCCGTTGCACGAAACAGTAGAGAACTATTGTGTAATAGGTAAAGCACTTCAGAGAAAATCTAGAGTGCTGAAAGTGCCTTTTCTAAATGCTTTTTTCTTCTCACAATATCAAAAAAAAAAGGAAACCTTTTTTCTTCTCACTTGATAACACTCAATTGAACTTTTCCACGATAGTGGTTTAAATAATGCATATTTAGGTAGTCCCTACAAATGGATTTCAATGCCCATTGCAATACCATATTCTTTTTGTACTTGTAAGTTAGGTCCAAGGAAACCACATGCAGAAATATACTGTGGTCGGGATCAAACAGTTCTGCTCTGCATAGGTGTACATATTGGCAATACATCCATCTACTTATTTTATCAAGGAAAATGTATCAAATTGAGAAAATCGAAGCATAAACTCCTATCAACAATGATGTTTTTATTGTGAAGTAGGTGAGGGTGTATGTTTTGGTTGTACTTGTCCATGAAGCTGATCTTCTTGATTTTGACTAAAATATGGAGTACTAATGGAGGGGGCCCTGCGTTGCAGGGGCTCGCTTGATTCGAATTAGAGACTTGAGCTCGAGCTCGGAAGTTCGAGCTCGGCTACCTTTGATTCCAGGTCTCTCAAGCAGCCAAGGTCTCCCTCAACTGCCGAGGTGCCAAACCGAGGTCTCCCTCAGCTGCTGAAGTGTTGTGCTGAGGTTTCCCTAGCAGGCGAGCTGTCTAGCTAAGGTCTCCCTTAGTTGACAAGGTGCCGAGCTGAGGTCTCCCTCAGTTGTCGAGGTGTTGAGCCGAGATCTCCCTCAGTGGTCGAGATGTCGTCTAGCTCGAGCTCGATTTGAATTAGAGACTTGAGCTTGAGCTCAGAAGTTCAAGCTTGGCTTGGCTCGAACTCAACTACCTTTGATTGCAGGTCCCCTAGCAGCTGAGATGCCGAGTTGAGGTCTCCCTCAGTTGGAGAGAGAGTGTGTCATTCTTGTAATTTGAAAGAAAAAGAGAGAGAGAGAGAGTTGGTAGGAGAGAGTGGCATTCTTGTAATTTGAAAGAAAAAAAAAAGCAAAAGAGAGAGAGAGTTGGTAGAGAGTGGCATTCATGTAATTTCTAATAAAAAAGGCAAAAAATACTGTTAGATTCCATTTCCCTCATCCTCAGTCGTACGTACACATTTCAGCTTGATATATTTATATAGATTTTTCCAGAGCCATAGTTTCAGTCCAGTTGGTTTGATGTGGTTTAAAGTTTTGTTATCGAACTTGAGTTCATTAAACACTTCTCTATGCTAGAAGTTTGTTTTGTTACTATTACTAAGAAATAAGGAAGATAATGATTACTGTCCATGCTTCCATATTTGTAATTATGTTGCACTGGATTTTGCAGAGGGAGTTATAGCAGGAGGTACTGCTGGAGTTGTGGTTGAAACAGCTTTATACCCAATTGATACCATAAAAACTCGTCTGCAGGCAGGTGGACCAGATAACAAAATCCATTATGGTTGTGCTTTTGTTGCATAATAGCGGATATTGTCAATTCAACTTATTTTTTGGTTAGCTACAGAAATGTTCATGTTCTGGTAGCATTCATGATATACCATTTTTATAGGAAATGATTAATTGTATTGAATTTGTGTAACTTTTTGGATGAGTTTCCCATTTTGGGATTTACACGATACAAGAAATTACAGTCAGCCCAAACCCCGTTTGCAAGCAAAAAAGCACAGCAGGAGACAAAAGACAAAAAGCTTGAATTTAGAATCTGATTGCCTTATAATATCAACCATTTTTGTCCTGGTAGCATATATGATATGAGGAGCCTACTTGAAAAATTGACTTGAAATTTTCTTCTATTGAAAAATATTATGTGCTTGTAATACCTAGACACTATTGCACTGACAGATGGTAGAAGAGGAATGGTTGTTATAACTGTTAAAAATCTGCAGTTTAGTGTTGCAGGGGCACATATGTAATTTTTCCTTTTTTTTTTTAAATTTTTTGGATTTCCCTAATATAAATATAGAAGCTGGTGCCGCCAGCCAATGTTTTTGACTCCAAGTCTTTTCTCTCTTCTCTCTGTTCTGACTTTCTACTGGCCTTTTACCAAGAAGACAGTTGTCAAAATTTAAAGTGGTTATGTGGGCCGGGGAATGGGGTAGGTACATTTTAAATTTTTAATGCATACAAAGCCACACAAAAATCCTTGAATCAAGTAGTAACAGCACCAATTGATCTAGCAGTAAGAAAGAAAGAGAAACAAAACTAATTAGAATGATGAAAATGGAAAAAGAAAAAAGAAATAGAAAAATGACCTGCTGAGTTGGACGAGCCTCACAAGAGGAGAAAAATTTCTGTCCAAGAAGATACAAAATTCTATTCAGAAAAAATTATTCACATTATCATCAACACTGTTTATAAATCCCTGTAAAACCCACTAGAACTTAAAGAGAATGTGTAAAATTCATATTGGATAATTAAAACAGCTTTAAACCTTAAGGACCCAATATTGAAATGCTGAAAATAACAAAAAAAAATTATCGTTACAAGATTTTCTAAACTAACTGTAACTTACAAAATAGGTACCTTATCTTAACCCAATTAAACCTAACTAATTAAAGACTACTAGGCTCTCCTGGATTGGTCAAGACATCCTAGTGGGCTCTCTCTGGTTGATTGGAGAGCAGAAGGGCATTATTTACATTTTTGCAGATGGAGATACTCTTTACATCTTTTTCAGCCTTGGTTAGTTTTGAAACAGTGATCAGAGCTGAGATTTTAGCATCATTGCAGATTTCAATGCTTATCTATTAATTGGATTTTCAAAGATTGGAACATGAAGAAAACTTCCAAATTATCGGATGGATGAAAAATGCAGTGGATCCGGTGGTCCTTGGCAAATGCCACATTTCATTAGAGAATCTATAGCTATTTTTTTTTTTGATAATTGAAAATGATTTCATTAAACAATAGGAATAAGATTTTACAAGAATTCCTTGGAGAGGCAAGAGATGCAGCCTCCCCTAACCGTTACAAAAGACCAGAAGAAATTACAATGCTGCCCAGAATAAATGGTCCCTAGTAGCCCCCTGTTTAGCAAGATGATCAGCCAAAACATTTGCCTCCCTACCCACCCACTGATATCTACATGTTATGTGCCTTGTTAAACATTTAACTTTTTTGATGAGATCCCTATAACTCCAAACAACCGAATCTGGATTTGACGGCCAGCCCACAATCACCTTAGAATCCCCTTCAATCAATAGGTTCTCCACTCCTAGTTGATTAGCAATCTGAATTCCCTGTACTGCAGCCAATATCTCAGCTCTTGTAGAGTCCCCTATCCCTATCGGGCCTGAGAATAAGGATATGATGTTGCCATTTTCATTCCTCAATACTCCAATGCCAGACGATCCTGGGTTACCCTGGATGCTTCCGTCAAAATTCAGTTTAAAAAAACCTTTTGGGGGAGTTACCCAAACTATAGTGGCTCTGGTTTTCCTAACCGAAGTGTGTGCAATTGTGGCCCAATTTCTCCAGATGTCATCAAATGAAAAAGAGCTGAAAGAAGCCAAGGATTTCAGCCAATGGATAGTCCTAGTTAAGATATATTCCTTCACTTCTATAAATGACCTCTCTTTATCTTGGAAAATTCTAGTGTTTCTTTCTTCCCAGATTGCCCATAAGGTGGCTGCTCTGAAACATCTCCACATACTTCTTCCTCTTTTTGTTAGGCAAACAAAGGTAGTTGGTGTGAATAATGATTTTACTTTTGTTGGGTGATTCCACCTACATCCAAACAAAACAAACATCCATTCCCAAAGAGTTGTAGCAAAGGAACAAGAAACCAGTAAGTGGTAATAGTCCTCACTATGAGAATTGCACAGTACACACCAGTCTGGGACAAACAAATAAAAGGCTTTTTCTTTTATAAGTTCTCCAAAGTGTTGATCTTACCAAGGTACACTTCCCAGCAGAAAACAACAATTTTGGGTGGCACAGGCTTTGTCCAAACTTCTTTCACTGGGAAAGGCTCAAAAGAGGTCCTCAAACAAAGGGATTTGAAGAATGATGCACAAGTGAAAGAACCTTTTGGGATAGGAGTCCACACCCTTTTATCAGGAGAGGAGGGGTCCAAACAAACACTCTCTAGAATGGATAGAAGTTGAGTAACACAAGCAAGCTCCTCCTCCCTTAAGCCCCTATGAAAACCAAAGTCCCAGTTCAAGGATAAAGGTAAAACTGGAGGGGGAAGAAGGACAGAGATAACCTCATTTTTATAAGGGGAAAGGGCATACAGAGAAGGAAATAGGTCTTTTTGAGGTAAATTTCCCACCCAAGTGTCTTCCCCAAAAAGAACCAAATTTCCAGAACAAGTATCATACCTTACAAATTGAAGGAACTTGGGGAGGACGCCATGTATTGCCTTCCACGGTGTTGTTTGGGTAGCCCGATGAGATACCCCAGCATCCCAACCAGAGACAGAACAACCATGAATACTAAGCATAACCCTATGCCATCAACTTTCTCTTTCCAGAGACCATCTCCATAGCCACTTTCCCAATAAAGCTTCATTTTTTAAGACCAAATTCCCTAATCCCAAACCCCCTGCCTCTTTACTTCGACAAACTGTCTCCCAATTAACTAAGTGATCATTTTTCTCCTCCCCTGGTTCCCAAAGAAAATCTCTCATCATTTTTTCTAATTTCCTAACCTCCCTACGGGGATCCTAAACACAGAGATAATAGACTGGTAAATTGGCAAGTGCAACCTTAATCAAAGTTACCCTTCCTCCCATTGTGATATAATTCTTTTTCTAAGTTGTCAACTTTCTTTCAAATTTCTCAACCATTGGGTACCAAAATCTGCTTTCCCTAGGATTCCCACCCAAAGGTAAACCCAAATAAGTCAAGGGCCCAGAGGAAATAGAGCAATCCAAATAGTTAGCAATAGACTCAACTTTATTGTCATCCAAATTGACCCCTACTACACAACTTTTTTCAAAGTTGATCTTTAGATTGGAAACTCTCTCAAAGTATAAAATTAGATCCTTAAGATTTCCCACTCTTCTTGGCTCGCTTCCCTTACAAAAAATAATAATATCATCTACAAACTGGAGATGAGTTACAAAGACATTATTCCTTCCGATCTTCCAACCACCTATTACCCCATCCCTATCTGCTTTTGATGTTAATCTACTCAACACATCTGCCACCAAAGTAAAAAGAAAAGGAGAAAGAGGATCACCTTGTCTCAACCCTTTGTAGGCTGGAAAGAAGTCCTTTACCACTCCATTCACTAGCACAGAGTAATGAACCGAAGTAAGGCAATCAATTTGAAGGGATGAAAATCCATCGTGTGGACGCCCGAATCTTGCGGAATAGAATGGGCGAATTTCAAAAATTTCTCTCCATCCTACTGGGAATCGTATTCCCTATTTTAGAAAAATCGTATTTTTCAAGGATCAATCTTGAACCATGAACCGAACTAGATCTGAACAAAAGCAGTAGGAAAGGGATATACCTGATACGCTCCCAATGGAGGTATTCACGCCCAAGGAAGGAACCAAAAACTGCTTCCACTGAAGATGGCGCAGTGCAGGATGGAGCAGAATCAGCAGTGTTCTTCAAAAGAACCAGATCCTTTGCAAGTATCAGCTGGATGGCACGTTAGCACTTCTTCTAATCAGCCCTTTCACAAAGGACTGATATCAAGATCCAATCTTGATCACTCCTACTGACAAGAGGAGATCGAACTGGCAGATATGGCGGCGGCAGGACGGAGGCGGCAAGAGAGATTTAGCGCAGTGATGCTGAATTTCCTCTTCTGTGATTTCAGCTCTGAAGAGGATGTGAATATGAATATCTTCTAAAGGCTGACGCCCCCTCTTTCTTTTATAAGCTTAAAGGGATCAACTCCTAATCCCATTAGGAGTTGCTGATCCAAATCATATTTGGATCAGAATTCCCTTTAAGTGATAAGGGTAAACCCTTATCTTATCTGCAGATTAGATCAGCCCCTTCCTAATCCTATTAGGAGGTTTCCAGATCTGA